TGACACAGACCTTAGCACTCTCTATGTAGGGATGACACAGATCTTAGCACTCTCTATGTAGGGATGACACAGACCTTAGCACTCTCTATGTAGGGATGACACAGATCTTAGCACTCTCTATGTAGGGATGACACAGACCTTAGCACTCTCTATGTAAGGATGCCACAGACCTAGCACTCTTTATGTAGGGATGGCACAGACCTAGCACTCTCTAGGTAGGGATGGCACAGACCTTAGCACTCTCTATTTAAGGATGGCACAGACCTTAGCGCTCTCTATGTAGGGATGGCACAGACCTTAGCACTCTCTATGTAGGGATGGCACAGACCTTAGCACTCTCTATTTAGGGATGGCACAGACCTAGCACTCTCTATGTAGGGATGGCACAGATCTTAGCACTCACTATCCTGTTAGTCCTTAAAGTCAAACTTCTCATGACGTCTGTTGCTTACTGTTTGTTAATTGTAATCCCTCTTATTGCTGGATCCATGAACAATGAACTGGTGATTCCTAACAGGCATGTTGTACAGATAGTTGTCATTGTGTTGCGTAATTAACCTTCGTGGGTTATTTTATAGCTGCTACTTTTACAGACCTTTTATCTGACAGTGTGTGTGTCCATGACTTGTCCACTACAGATATGGATATACCGAAGTTTGTATTCGTATATATCCAACAATTGAGCAGTTTGTATTTCTATTAGAAAACTTGGCCCGTCCATCTGGTTTGTCTGAACCTGAAAGAGGTTAAACATATAATAGGTAACCATGCCACGTAGCTTTACTGATACAACGACTAAAGTCAAAGTGATTGCTAAAACAGTTGTCACTACCTGATCAAATTCGAGCATTTTTACAACAAAACACGTGAGTCTTAATTACTAATAACATGCATATTATTTGAATTACACTTAGATGAAATTTCACATTCCTAATTAAAAGTTTAACCCTTAAGATTTTCTACAGTGTATATATATTTCATCTATACGACCTTTTGATTTTTCATTGGAAACTCTGTCGTTAATGGAAAAAAAAGATGCATTTAGTTCAGTGTACCTTTGGAGATAAATAGCTGCATCACGTGGATTATAAAAGTTTCTTGTAAGTGTAACGTCGTCTTATTTAACATCTACGTGTCTAATCGTCTCGATGGTGAAATATATCGTTGTTTCGACAAAGCTGTTCTCTGTAATCCGAAGAGATTATTTTATATGAAAACAGAAACAACCATATTATCTATTTATTAAAATAACCTGTACAGTTGTATATTTAATCACAAAAACTGTGTGATGTATTTTGTCAGAATACAATGTAGAGAATTAATTAATTTTATTACAAAATTCGAGTTAATTATGAGCCATTACAGGTATAGTAGTAATACATGTTTATACAGAGAGGCAAATTTCACTTTTAGTCCTGTTTTGGGGTAAACCATTAAATGCCACCAAATCATCATTAAGGTGACAATCATTTGGCTAACAAACCTGTATCTATGTTAGAATAATAACTTACAAAACTGATGGACTATTTCAATGCATTTTATACATTATCGTTATGTACATTTTGCCACAAATCAATGTATGTTGAATATAAGATTTAGGCCTAGTAATTGAGATCCGGTTTCATTATCTAGAGAAAGAGCTAAGTCAATTGTAAACATAAATTAATGTGCAAGCTATCTTTGTTATCTACATAATTTATACTAAAAAATAGGTTAGTATCTTGTAAAGTAATAGCCCCCAACATATGCTTAAAACACTTTGAAAGTTGGTAGTGTTGATATACAAATACTTGACACATATATTGATCACTGTTAATGTTATTAAGCAATACACCTTGGAAATTCAAATATAATAATATTAACTCAGTTAAATTTGTTAAGTACAGCATTTCTCTACATAAACTGAATGAAGCTTAAGTCTACTGAACACAACCAGTTTTTGTTCTTTGCAAAGTGCTATTTCCAAACGTTTCAAAACGTAGCTTCTTTGATTTTAACCTTAGTCAACTTTCGTTGTTCATACATAAGTTGCCCCACAGCGGTATGTTTGTGGACTTACAAAGCTAGAATCCTGGTTTCGATACCCGTGGTGGACAGAGCACAGATAGCCCATTGTGTAGCTTTGTGCTTAATTACAAACAAACAAACAATTTTTTAAATGGTGTTTGCATTGGCTTTTACTCAATAAAAATAATTTCTAATAAACCGTGGTTTATACATCAGAGTTTGAATAGATATCTAACAATTATATATGATCATATAATGCATCATTCGTATATTCAAAAAGTGTTAATAGTTTAAGCTGAAAAACCAACCAGTTGTACATGGTCCACTGTTTTTGATATGGAGCCCATCTTGCCATTTGTTCCTAGCTTCAATTAGCTGACACTCGTTTTGGTAAGTTTTGCCGTCACTCCCGCAAATGGACTTCTGATGAATACAAAAACATAAGGCTTCTGGGGGTTCTTCAAGTGGCAGATCTGTCCTTATCCGACATTCCAGCTTTTCTCCACAATATCCATACTTGGTTTTGTATTGAAGAGGAAGACCTTCATTGTCGCAGGGAGCACCTTCCGTCACACCACACACAGAGCAGCAGCCGCAGTGGTCTTTCACCGTTCCTGCTAAGCAGCCCACAGGTACTGGGCAAGCCTTGGGGTCACAAGCCTCACATTCGTTTTCGTAAGAAGCTTTTATCTTAGTAGTTAGTCCTATTATAACAACTAACACGAAAATCCTCTGTTTCAAAATCATTATTAAATATTATTTTTACGAGCAAAATAATTACTGATCCGCCTCTTTGATATTAAAACTTATTTTAGTGGCACTCTTTCAATATGGGCGAGGTAGAAGACACAGATAACGTTATTAACCCGTATAAAGTCCAAGGGTTTCAAGCGATAGCAGATAAGAAAAAAGTGTAGTAATTCGCTTGGGTTGTTAAACGTAAAAAGAACCCTGTACAAGCTGAGTTTTTAACCTTTATACACAGAAGTACATGGATATGATTGTCGTTCACTACTTACACTAAAAGACAAAATCGTTATATTTTTATTTTTAATTCTTTCATCTATTTTCATAGATTTTTGGCTGTATTAATCGCGGCCCCAGGTTAATGGATCCATTTATAAACCTCTCAGTTAGCTATTTCTGTTTATTCATAGTTATTTGCCGTTACTTGTCTTTTCCTCAATCTTATTTCACGTATTCCTATCTGTCTTTTTATCTACCTATCTGTCGTCATATGCCTTGAAAATGTTTTTGATTTGCTGCCTGTTTGTCTCATTCTATTTTCTTTACAAAGTTTCGTGTTGTCAGTACGTTTCCGAGGTTTTTCTAGTGTGCAGTTGATCACAAATTGTACACACGTAAAAATATTTGTAAAGTGGAAAATTCACCTATATAAGTAAGTTCAAATGGTTAAGTATTAAAAGTATAAAATTCCATTCCATTCGTAACACTGTGTAAAATCTTAGAATAATCAGATAAGATCAAAAAAGCTAAAGTTTAAATGTACACCTGAATGATGTAAATTACACTTAGTGTATTTTAAAATATATGATTGCACCATCACATTTTTCGGGGTTTCTAACATTTGATAAGACAATTATATATATGTAGGGATGGCACATACCTTAGGACTCTATATGTAGGGATGGCACAGACCTAGCACTCTCTATGTAGGGATGGCACAGACCTAGCACTCTCTATGTACGGATGGCACATACCTTAGCACTCTCTATGTACGGATGGCACAGACCTTAGGACTCTATATGTAGGGATGGCACAGACCTTAGCACTCTCTATATAGGGATGGCACAAATCTAGCATGCTCTAAGTAGGGATGGCACAGACCTAGCACACTCATGTAGGGATGGCACAGACCTAGCACTCTCTATGTAGGGATGGCACAAACCTTAGCACTCTCTATTTT